CCAGAAATGTTGTAGAAACCCCACTCCCAGGGATATCTGAAATCCAGCTGGACAACCCAGTGAGCAACACTCTCGTTGGACGTGGTTCCAGTAGAGACCTCTGGGGCCAGAGCACCCTGATTCGATACTCCCCAGCTGCTTTGGCCGCCTCTGCTTTCCTCCCCCGGCGCTCAGCTTCCCGGAGACCAGCAGGGAGCAGTGAAAGGCGAGGAATGAAGACTTACCCACCGGACCAGCAGCATTCCTGCGAGGCTGCAGACACATGCCGGGACCGCCCAGCGCTGAAGTTCTGAATGCCCAGCCCAGGGAAGCGGGAAAGGGCCCCGGGCAGCCACCGGCCAAGAAAGGGCATTGCGGGATGCGCCCCCCGGGCACGGGCACGGACAGAAACACGGACACAGATACCGGCACGGGCAGGGCCGGGACACCGGCGGGGAGCGGGGACGGAGAGCCGGGCGGGCGGCCGGGAGCGCAGGTGGCGACTGTCCCGGGGACCTGGCCAGGGGACGCAGAGTCCGGGGGTGTTTCCTACAGGCGGGGGGGCGGGCGGAGGGGCTGCCCAGCCGGCTGCACCCACGGTGCCAGCCCACGAGCCTGAGCCCCAGAGCTGCGGTGAGCTTCCCGATATTGCTGCTGTCAGCGTTGGACGGTGCTTGTTGCTTCAAGCGTCTGGGGCTACAAGGTTCGTATTGCCCAACTGTCCCCTTTGATCTCGAGATATAAACACATGCTTAACAAAAACCGAAATCTAAATTCTTACATAACCACATGACTCCAGGCACTGGGATGATGAAATCCCAAGAAGCATCCAGGCTCCTTCACTGACAACGGACCTGCCAATACCCAGGAAACACTGGCCATTTTGCTGGTCAGCTTTGCTACAGGTCAGGATAATGCTCACATCCATTGTGCAAATGAGCACCAAGGCTACAAAGACATTTGCATGCTGCTCTCCGTTCCAGAATAAATTTTAAATTACATTTAAATTATATATAATTTATATTATATTTAAATTATAAGTTATGAATTACAGAATGTTGATTTAAACTATAGAATTTTATTCACAAATGACACCTACAGAAAATCAGACACAAGACAAAAAGAAGCCCCAGCAAATGGATGTCCTGGGACCCCAAAAATCTGGGTTGAGAGGTGGCTGAGCTTAGAAGTGCTGCCTCAGGTGTTTAACTCTGGGGTGAATGATTATGACTGGGGTGGTTGCAGGCATTCCCATCTAAGTCTCTCCACCCTGCTCTCCTGTCCTGGGCTAACACACCTGTTCCAGGGGAGGCAGAAGAAGAATGGGAACATCAGTCCTTGTCACTGGGCATCAGGGAGCTCTGCACAAGTCCTTTCCTCAGTCACTTGGTTAGCTAAGAGTTCTGGGCATGGGCAAGGGTACCCCACAGGCTGTCACCCAGGAGAACTAGCAACACACTGTAGACCGCAAAGATAGTATTTTAAATTGCTAGTTAGATCTGTCAGAGCATGACATCCAGATCTTAGAGATTCTTATACATAAACGTAGAGATATTTCCTACATCTGGAGTAGTTCCTTGCCACAAACCCTGTTACCACTCAGCTGCTTTCACACACACCACCAGGGCATTACTCAGCTCTCTGTGATACAGCTGATCCAGCCATTCACTCACTCAGTGCATCAACAGAAGTTGGAAGGGGTCTCTGAAGGCCACCCTTCCCACCCCTGCTCAAAGCAGACGGTGGCTCAGGGCCTCAGCCAGTCCAGTTTTGATCACCTCCAAGGCTGGAGGTTCTACAGCCTCTCCACACAACCTGCTCCAGTGTTTGGTCACTTTCATGGTAAAACATGAGGATTTTAGCACATGCTCTGAAGACTGAACACTCCAAACTGAGCTTAGGCAAATCACTTAGGTCCTGGATATGCTGTTCCACAGGAGTTCATGCAGTTCTGTCAGCTACTTGATTGGTTCTGCAGTAACTTTGGTCAGGGATTCAGTGCAGCCTAACTCTCCCACATAAATACATTCATTGTGCAGGTGTAACTTCCTGGACCATTTAATTGAGAGGTCAGGCAAGTAACTGTGTATAAGCCAGGAATAAAACAGAATTAAATGAATTAAGGTCTCCTGAAACTGTAGCTTCTCTGCAATAATGTAATATTGGCCTTTGCAAGGGATACAATTTTCCAAAATTTGGAGAATGAGTTCCCTAAGGACCAAGGACCCTTCAGTACCTGCCCATTCAGACTGCAAGCTCTGCTGTTTACACCTGTAGCACAAACACAATGCAACACAAAATCTGCTGGGGAGAGGAGAGGGGAACAAACCACACATCTGTGTATTAGTCACTTTTGAGGTTAATGGGAAAGTGTTCAGATGCTGCTTTGAATGGTTCATGGTAAGCTGCAAACTACAACAGAACCCTCCAATCATCAGTGCCCATAAGGAGTTCCAAGATCCTCAGGTGGGAATCATTATATAATAAATACTTCATTCTCTTAAACACAGATGATTATTTCAGTGCATAATGTATCTTAAAAGGAAATACAAACCTTTGCTTAGAAGTCAGAGCCTGTCCTTACCACATTCTGTGCCTTCTCACCTGCAGGGCACAAGCTGTCATGCAATATCCAGTAATTAAGCTATATTTATTATAAGATTGGAAGCTGTGAAGTCATTCCCTGTGCTAGTACACGTGCCTTAAGCTAGCTATGATAATCATTTTCACATGCACCCAACCCATGTTTAGGCCTTCAGCCACAGTTACTCTCTGATGATACAACAACAAGTGACATAGTGGCACAGAGTGGAAAAATATTGCCAACTTTGGTCATAGAGTGATTTGGAAATGAGAGATTTTGCTCGGTTTGACTGCATGGAGTTACACTCTATTCCTTATATCCAGCAAATGGAATAGGTTGGCGCTTTTACTGCAAGCACAGAAGTATCACCATTCCAGAACCATCCTATTGGTTCCAGAATCATCCTTACCTACTCTATAAGAAATAAGCTGCATTTATTTTGGCATGAAAATACTTGCACAGTAAAATCCTTCTCAAATTATACATTCTAAAAGATATAAAAAGAACCCCCTCAATTCTGAAGTCCTAAAGATTTCTTGGCAAATCTTGACTTATGTAAATGACATAAAACTATATGGCAGGTTTATGAAGAAGCCATGTTAATACTATTCTGGTGTAATGAGCAAGAGTCTTGCATTCCTGTAGTGCCTTTCTGCAATAAGGAGTAAAACAACAACAAAAAGAATTTCATTAGGTCTTAACTAAATGTGACAGGACTAAGATCCAGTGAAGCATTTGCCCTTGGAACATAAAAGTATGTAGAAGATAGATAAAACTTTTCTCAAATAAATATTCCTCAGCAGGATCATCCCTTCTGAGGGATGCAGCTCATGTGACTACTATTTCATGGTTCTTAAAGGGTGGAAACCATGCCATCAGCTTGCTATGCCCCTTGGCTAAGGTCCGAGACAGAAACAAAGATCTTGAAAATATGCATCCAGCTAGAATAATATGTTTCCATGTGTGTTATTTCACCATGTTTCCCACCAGTTAGAGCTACGTGTCTGCCATTCAGTGAAAAACATCAGTTTGTGTTTCCCTTTAATCCCACTCCATATTTAGGATGATGTGGAGATAATTTATCAAACACTGCAGTCATCGGGATTCCTTCTGGAGCACTGAACATGTTACACAACCCTTACAACAAGGTAAATCCTCTAACCTGCCAGAGCTTGTTTATAGCCTGGCACAGGCAGCATCTACAGTGCCAAGTGAAGCTGGGCCAGGAACTGTTCTGTGCTGGAAGGGCTGGGCAGTCACTCACCCATCCACACCACACAGCACCTGGCTGGGGGTCACCTCCAAACTACAAGTGGTCCTAAATAAGTATTATTTCAGGAGTGTTATTTCAGACAGGCAGATTTTAACAAAAGAGAGCTTGTGCCATAGCCCAGGAGGATGATTTACAACATGAAGCTAAAGGACTTGTCGTGTGCCACAGCACAGAGGGGTGTTTGACAGTATGAAACCTGCTGGGATGTTGCTGGATCACCCAGAAGAGTGCAGGGGGTCCAGTCTCAGAGTCTTTTTCAAGGCTCACTGGACACATGCTACCCTCTGAGCTACCCCCAACCATCATCTTGGAGATCGCTGCTTGACACATGCCAAGACTGTTTCAGAAACCAGAATCATTACTGTGTAGCGCACAAGCAGGAGTCAAATGCCAAGCTTGATTCCTCCCCTCTTTGATTCGGCAGCACAGGCATAGCCAAGGGACCCAGGCTGGTGGCACCTGGAAATTGCTGACAAATAGCAGCAAAAAACCACAGCCATGGGGGGAGGGGGGGAGAATGAAGGGGATGGGAGGATCTGAGAGGCCCGTGGATAGTTAAAGCTTTGAAGAGCTGAATTCTTTGAAAGTCTTGGAGTGGAATCCTTATCTGTGCCGAAACCCCATTCTTGGCTTTGTACTCAGTTCTTATGTAATGACAGCAAATTACTTTGTTGTATCTCCCCTGGTGTCCTCGAGGTTAGTGACACATCACCATTAGGTTACGTTGCTATTTTGATTCAACTGCCATACCACATGCCTAAGTGCTGCAACAGAGCTTGTCCTTCTCCCTGTGCTACTAGCAACTGTTATTTTTCCTACAATTAGAATTCAAATGCTTCATATCAGGAATTTTATCACTCTCATGCTGAAGCACCCAATATACTTCAAAGCAGTGTCAAAATAATGTTTTATTTAAAAACCCAAATATCCTCACAATATCTGAATTCCATGTACCTTTCAGATGATATGCTTAAAGATTAACACTGCTACTGTACTTTATGGCCTTTGCAATACCATTACCTATTCAGGGAAAATATTTAATTTTGCAAACCAGATAAATACTATATTATGAGTTGGTTTCTCTTCCCTTCTTCCGGAGCATAAGATTCAAGATGGGCTATTTAAAAAGCACTCAATCCTTACCAAGTGGAAGATGCAATGCAATCAGAATTAAAATTACTCCTTTAATGTTGCAGCTGGTTGTCCATAGCCAATAGACCAAGATACAAAACATTTGTATAAAAACAGAGCTCAAATCTAATCAGTGAAGAAGAGCTGAAAATCTGTTGTTGTGCAGACTAAAGATGCCAGGGGTGGCAGGGGACAGGACAGCACTCCACAGAACAAGAGCTCCTTAATTGGAAATGATAAAGCTACATTGTCCACATGCTAGTTCCAGCCTTCTTTTGTTTTCCCATGATATCCTGTTGATATAATTCCAGGTCCCTTGTGAACATCCGCTGGTTCCAAATGAGAAGAATGGGTGGTGTTGGTTTCACTTCAGCACCTCACTGGGTCACCAGCCCACCTCTGCCTGGAAGGGCTCCCGGATGCAGCTCCAAAGAACAACCTTATCAGCAAAAGATCTGAATAGATAAGGCACACGGATATATGAGATCATATCTTCTGGTAATTTAAACAATTCAAATGCCATTATAATATGGAAGCACAGGAAAAAGCAAGAGTTCAGCTAAATCCCTACAACTCCACATAGAAATAGTCATATTTTATGAAATCAAGCACAGCTTTTGCCCCTCTCTGTTATCAACCACAGTGTTCTGACACTACCTGGTAGCAACCACTTGAAGAAAGTAGTGAGGACAAAGTCAGTGGTCAGTGTGCAGTGCTGCCTCACCACTAAGGTCCCAGAAATTTCAAAATCAGGACTTGCACAGCCAAAGGGTATATTTGTGTATTTAATAGTCCTCACTAACTTTTATTTGCGTTCATTTTCTGGAGTTTTAATCTCAAAAAAACCCCCAAAAAACAAAAAACCTTGTCGTATAACCAAAATCAGGCAAAAAGGTTTTCTACAAGTACCCACAGATTGAGCAACCTTGTCAAATCTGGCTTTATTCCACGTTTCCCCAGGTTTTGCTTGTTGTACATCATTCTTACACTGAAAGAAACCTCCCCTAACTTGTGTCTGTGAAGCTGAAGAGCCCTAGTTACCTTACCTGCTTCTGACCTAGAAGCTGTCCCACACTTTCCAACATTTGTCTGAACCTCTCACAATGCTCTCTGTGCTTCTAAAGATCAGAACTGTACACAACATTCAAAGCACTGGCACACCATGGATTTATCCCGTGCCATAATGACACTCCATGCTTTTATTCTCTTGCTCTAATTCCTTATCTCCACACACTCGATTTGCTCATTTACCAAGCCTTGAACTGGGGTTTTCACAGAGCTATTATTTTGCCAAGAGCTTGTTCCCAAGTGATAAATCAGCTTCTAGGCTGTTTCTGTGTGATTGAAATGGACTGTTTATCTCCCATTTAAAACACTTTACATGTATGTACATCAAATTGTACCACCCACTCACTTTGTATTGTGATGTTTTACTACATTTGCTTTCGGTCCACAGGCTCCAAATCAGATCCTTGTGGAGCTTTGAATGTTGGCTGAATCCACGAAGAAATAGTTTTGTTCTGTCTTACAGAGACCTGTCTTTGATGCAGTGTCATCTATCCACATGAAAACTTCTCTTATTCTACAGTTCCTTCAGAAGGTTTTGCTCACAGATTTTGTTGAACACCTTTTAGAAACCCAAGTAGGAAACACCAGCTGGATGTCTCTTGTCCACATGCTTTGCTGACTCCTCACAGGACTCCAAACAATCTGTAAGGTCAGGAGTTCTCATTAGAAAGGTTCTGCCATCTTTCACAGTACCTCATTTTCTCCCTGCATGCACTAGTTCAACTTTTAAAGTTTTCACTAACATGGGTGGTACAGAGAACAGGCTCGTTGCTCAGCAGCTCTACAGAACTTTTCAGGCTGCTGGGGTTTTTTTGTTCTGTGTTTTGGTTTTTTTTTTAATTGGCATATTAACTAACTTCCCTGTTTCTGTTATCAAAGCCCTTCTAAACGCAATGTTACACAAAAACCATTAGTAGCAGCTCAGCTATTTCAGTCTTGACTTCTTTTAAAACTCTTGGATGAATATAATGCAATCCAATTGTTCAACACTTTTTATTTTAGCCATTTGTTTCACTACCTTTTCTACAGACCTTCAGTTTGAAACAGGTCCTCTGATAAATCTTTCATAAGATCAAGAATAAGTACGGGAATATTCTTAGGTTCCTCTACAATGAGCACAGAGCAAAATATTAATTTAATTTTTCTCCAGAACCTTATCTCCTCTGAATAATCCATTTTTATTTTGACTGTCCACTGGCTTTGATACCTCTTTTGGTAAACTTTCTGTTCTATTTTGACGGAAAGCAGTAGAGTCGGATTTTTGTAACAAAAAGTAACAAAAAGACAAATGGCAGGAGGACTAGCGGAGCGAATGTTCAAGGATATGGGTGTCTGGTCACCCGGTACACTGCAGCCGAGTTCATAGGGCAGCTCTTGTGCTGCAACTGTACGTAAAAAAAAAAAAAAAAAAAAAAAAAAAACCAATTTTATTTGCAACAAGAATGTAGAGAACATGCACAAATCATTGGGGTAACTCTCTTCTGCAAATATAAAAAAAAAAAAAAAAAAAGTAATAGGTAATTCTTTTCTTCCACCTACTGGAGATAAAAGCCAGTTGTCAGCTATGGGGGAGGTTGGGGTGGTTAGTTCCGTTCTGTTTTCCCACCATCACGGATCAATTCTTGATGGCTGTGGAGGTTTCCGGGTGGGGGTGATGCCACGGAAGCCAAGTTAGGGACAGCGAGAGCTGCGAACCGCCGCGTGTGAGCTCGCCCGGGACTCAGCACCCGGCTGCTTGGAATGCCCACGGCTT